GCAGTGGTGAGAGCAACAGAGGTGAGTGGTGCAGTGGTGAGAGCAACAGAGGTGAGTGGTGCAGTGGTGAGAGCAACAGAGGTGAGTGGTGCAGTGGTGAGAGCAACAGAGGTGAGTGGTGCAGTGGTGAGAGCAACAGAGGTGAGTGGTGCAGTGGTGAGAGCAACAGAGGTGAGTGGTGCAGTGGTGAGAGCAATGGAGGTGAGTGGTGCAGTGGTGAGAGCAACAGAGGTGAGTGGTGCAGTGGTGAGAGCAACAGAGGTGAGTGGTGCAGTGGTGAGAGCAACAGAGGTGAGTGGTGCAGTGGTGAGAGCAACAGAGGTGAGTGGTGCAGTGGTGCGAGCAACAGAGGTGAGTGGTGCAGTGGTGAGAGCAACAGAGGTGAGTGGTGCAGTGGTGAGAGCAACAGAGGTGAGTGGTGCAGTGGTGAGAGCAATGGAGGTGAGTGGTGCAGTGGTGAGAGCAACAGAGGTGAGTGGTGCAGTGGTGAGAGCAACAGAGGTGAGTGGTGCAGTGGTGAGAGCAATGGAGGTGAGTGGTGCAGTGGTGAGAGCAACAGAGGTGAGTGGTGCAGTGGTGAGAGCAATGGAGGTGAGTGGTGCAGTGGTGAGAGCAACCGAGGTGAGTGGTGCAGTGGTGAGAGCAATGGAGGTGAGTGGTGCAGTGGTGAGAGCAACAGAGGTGAGTGGTGCAGTGGTGAGAGCAACAGAGGTGAGTGGTGCAGTGGTGAGAGCAATGGAGGTGAGTGGTGCAGTGGTGAGAGCAATGGAGGTGAGTGGTGCAGTGGTGAGAGCAACAGAGGTGAGTGGTGCAGTGGTGAGAGCAACAGAGGTGAGTGGTGCAGTGGTGAGAGCAACAGAGGTGAGTGGTGCAGTGGTGAGAGCAACAGAGGTGAGTGGTGCAGTGGTGAGAGCAACAGAGGTGAGTGGTGCAGTGGTGAGAGCAACAGAGGTGAGTGGTGCAGTGGTGAGAGCAACCGAGGTGAGTGGTGCAGTGGTGAGAGCAATGGAGGTGAGTGGTGCAGTGGTGAGAGCAACAGAGGTGAGTGGTGCAGTGGTGAGAGCAACAGAGGTGAGTGGTGCAGTGGTGAGAGCAACAGAGGTGAGTGGTGCAGTGGTGAGAGCAACAGAGGTGAGTGGTGCAGTGGTGAGAGCAACAGAGGTGAGTGGTGCAGTGGTGAGAGCAACAGAGGTGAGTGGTGCAGTGGTGAGAGCAACAGAGGTGAGTGGTGCAGTGGTGAGAGCAACAGAGGTGAGTGGTGCAGTGGTGAGAGCAACAGAGGTGAGTGGTGCAGTGGTGAGAGCAACAGAGGTGAGTGGTGCAGTGGTGAGAGCAACAGAGGTGAGTGGTGCAGTGGTGAGAGCAACAGAGGTGAGTGGTGCAGTGGTGAGAGCAATAGAGGTGAGTGGTGCAGTGGTGCGAGCAACAGAGGTGAGGGGTGCAGTGGTGAGAGCAACAGAGGTGAGTGGTGCAGTGGTGAGAGCAACAGAGGTGAGTGGTGCAGTGGTGCGAGCAACAGAGGTGAGTGGTGCAGTGGTGCGAGCAACAGAGGTGAGTGGTGCAGTGGTGAGAGCAACAGAGGTGAGTGGTGCAGTGGTGAGAGCAGCAGAGGTGAGTGGTGCAGTGGTGAGAGCAACAGAGGTGAGTGGTGCAGTGGTGAGACCAACAGAGGTGAGTGGTGCAGTGGTGAGACCAACAGAGGTGAGTGGTGCAGTGGTGAGAGCAACAGAGCTGAGTGGTGCAGTGGTGAGACCAACTGAGGTGAGTGGTGCAGTGGTGAGAGCAACAGAGGTGAGTGGTGCAGTGGTGAGAGCAACAGAGGTGAGTGGTGCAGTGGTGAGAGCAACAGAGGTGAGTGGTGCAGTGGTGCGAGCAACAGAGGTGAGTGGTGCAGTGGTGAGAGCAATGGAGGTGAGTGGTGCAGTGGTGAGAGCAATGGAGGTGAGTGGTGCAGTGGTGAGAGCAACAGAGGTGAGTGGTGCAGTGGTGAGAGCAACAGAGGTGAGTGGTGCAGTGGTGAGAGCAACAGAGGTGAGTGGTGCAGTGGTGCGAGCAACAGAGGTGAGTGGTGCAGTGGTGAGAGCAACAGAGGTGAGTGGTGCAGTGGTGAGAGCAACAGAGGTGAGTGGTGCAGTGGTGAGAGCAACAGAGGTGAGTGGTGCAGTGGTGAGAGCAACAGAGGTGAGTGGTGCAGTGGTGAGAGCAATAGAGGTGAGTGGTGCAGTGGTGAGAGCAACAGAGGTGAGTGGTGCAGTGGTGAGAGCAACAGAGGTGAGTGGTGCAGTGGTGAGAGCAACAGAGGTGAGTGGTGCAGTGGTGAGAGCAATGGAGGTGAGTGGTGCAGTTGTGAGAGCAACAGAGGTGAGTGGTGCAGTGGTGAGAGCAACAGAGGTGAGTGGTGCAGTGGTGAGAGCAATGGAGGTGAGTGGTGCAGTGGTGAGAGCAACAGAGGTGAGTGGTGCAGTGGTGAGAGCAACAGAGGTGAGTGGTGCAGTGGTGAGAGCAACAGAGGTGAGTGGTGCAGTGGTGAGAGCAACAGAGGTGAGTGGTGCAGTGGTGAGAGCAACAGAGGTGAGTGGTGCAGTGGTGAGAGCAATAGAGGTGAGTGGTGCAGTGGTGCGAGCAACAGAGGTGAGTGGTGCAGTGGTGAGAGCAACAGAGGTGAGTGGTGCAGTGGTGAGAGCAACAGAGGTGAGTGGTGCAGTGGTGCGAGCAACAGAGGTGAGTGGTGCAGTGGTGAGAGCAACAGAGGTGAGTGGTGCAGTGGTGAGAGCAGCAGAGGTGAGTGGTGCAGTGGTGAGAGCAACAGAGGTGAGTGGTGCAGTGGTGAGAGCAATGGAGGTGAGTGGTGCAGTGGTGAGAGCAATGGAGGTGAGTGGTGCAGTGGTGAGAGCAACAGAGGTGAGTGGTGCAGTGGTGAGACCAACTGAGGTGAGTGGTGCAGTGGTGAGAGCAACAGAGGTGAGTGGTGCAGTGGTGAGAGCAACAGAGGTGAGTGGTGCAGTGGTGAGAGCAACAGAGGTGAGTGGTGCAGTGGTGCGAGCAACAGAGGTGAGTGGTGCAGTGGTGAGAGCAACAGAGGTGAGTGGTGCAGTGGTGAGAGCAATGGAGGTGAGTGGTGCAGTGGTGAGAGCAACAGAGGTGAGTGGTGCAGTGGTGAGAGCAACAGAGGTGAGTGGTGCAGTGGTGAGAGCAACAGAGGTGAGTGGTGCAGTGGTGAGAGCAACAGAGGTGAGTGGTGCAGTGGTGAGAGCAACAGAGGTGAGTGGTGCAGTGGTGCGAGCAACAGAGGTGAGTGGTGCAGTGGTGAGAGCAACAGAGGTGAGTGGTGCAGTGGTGAGAGCAACAGAGGTGAGTGGTGCAGTGGTGAGAGCAACAGAGGTGAGTGGTGCAGTGGTGAGAGCAACAGAGGTGAGTGGTGCAGTGGTGAGAGCAACAGAGGTGAGTGGTGCAGTGGTGAGAGCAACAGAGGTGAGTGGTGCAGTGGTGAGAGCAACAGAGGTGAGTGGTGCAGTGGTGCGAGCAACAGAGGTGAGTGGTGCAGTGGTGAGAGCAACAGAGGTGAGCGGTGCAGTGGTGAGAGCAACAGAGGTGAGTGGTGCAGAGGTGAGAGCAATGGAGGTGAGTGGTGCAGTGGTGAGAGCGACAGAGGTGAGTGGTGCAGTGGTGAGAGCAACAGAGGTGAGTGGTGCAGTGGTGAGAGCAACAGAGGTGAGTGGTGCAGTGGTGAGAGCAACAGAGGTGAGTGGTGCAGTGGTGAGAGCAACAGAGGTGAGTGGTGCAGTGGTGAGAGCAACAGAGGTGAGTGGTGCAGTGGTGAGAGCAATAGAGGTGAGTGGTGCAGTGGTGCGAGCAACAGAGGTGAGGGGTGCAGTGGTGAGAGCAACAGAGGTGAGTGGTGCAGTGGTGAGAGCAACAGAGGTGAGTGGTGCAGTGGTGCGAGCAACAGAGGTGAGTGGTGCAGTGGTGCGAGCAACAGAGGTGAGTGGTGCAGTGGTGAGAGCAATGGAGGTGAGTGGTGCAGTGGTGAGAGCAACAGAGGTGAGTGGTGCAGTGGTGAGAGCAGCAGAGGTGAGTGGTGCAGTGGTGAGAGCAACAGAGGTGAGTGGTGCAGTGGTGAGACCAACAGAGGTGAGTGGTGCAGTGGTGAGACCAACAGAGGTGAGTGGTGCAGTGGTGAGAGCAACAGAGCTGAGTGGTGCAGTGGTGAGACCAACTGAGGTGAGTGGTGCAGTGGTGAGAGCAACAGAGGTGAGTGGTGCAGTGGTGAGAGCAACAGAGGTGAGTGGTGCAGTGGTGAGAGCAACAGAGGTGAGTGGTGCAGTGGTGAGAGCAGCAGAGGTGAGTGGTGCAGTGGTGAGAGCAACAGAGGTGAGTGGTGCAGTGGTGAGACCAACAGAGGTGAGTGGTGCAGTGGTGAGACCAACAGAGGTGAGTGGTGCAGTGGTGAGAGCAACAGAGCTGAGTGGTGCAGTGGTGAGACCAACTGAGGTGAGTGGTGCAGTGGTGAGAGCAACAGAGGTGAGTGGTGCAGTGGTGAGAGCAACAGAGGTGAGTGGTGCAGTGGTGAGAGCAACAGAGGTGAGTGGTGCAGTGGTGCGAGCAACAGAGGTGAGTGGTGCAGTGGTGAGAGCAATGGAGGTGAGTGGTGCAGTGGTGAGAGCAATGGAGGTGAGTGGTGCAGTGGTGAGAGCAACAGAGGTGAGTGGTGCAGTGGTGAGAGCAACAGAGGTGAGTGGTGCAGTGGTGAGAGCAATGGAGGTGAGTGGTGCAGTGGTGAGAGCAACAGAGGTGAGTGGTGCAGTGGTGAGAGCAACAGAGGTGAGTGGTGCAGTGGTGAGAGCAACAGAGGTGAGTGGTGCAGTGGTGAGAGCAACAGAGGTGAGTGGTGCAGAGGTGAGAGCAATGGAGGTGAGTGGTGCAGTGGTGAGAGCGACAGAGGTGAGTGGTGCAGTGGTGAGAGCAACAGAGGTGAGTGTGCAGTGGTGAGAGCAACAGAGGTGAGTGGTGCAGTGGTGAGAGCAACAGAGGTGAGTGGTGCAGTGGTGAGAGCAACAGAGGTGAGTGGTGCAGTGGTGAGAGCAACAGAGGTGAGTGGTGCAGTGGTGAGAGCAATAGAGGTGAGTGGTGCAGTGGTGCGAGCAACAGAGGTGAGGGGTGCAGTGGTGAGAGCAACAGAGGTGAGTGGTGCAGTGGTGAGAGCAACAGAGGTGAGTGGTGCAGTGGTGCGAGCAACAGAGGTGAGTGGTGCAGTGGTGCGAGCAACAGAGGTGAGTGGTGCAGTGGTGAGAGCAATGGAGGTGAGTGGTGCAGTGGTGAGAGCAACAGAGGTGAGTGGTGCAGTGGTGAGAGCAGCAGAGGTGAGTGGTGCAGTGGTGAGAGCAACAGAGGTGAGTGGTGCAGTGGTGAGACCAACAGAGGTGAGTGGTGCAGTGGTGAGACCAACAGAGGTGAGTGGTGCAGTGGTGAGAGCAACAGAGCTGAGTGGTGCAGTGGTGAGACCAACTGAGGTGAGTGGTGCAGTGGTGAGAGCAACAGAGGTGAGTGGTGCAGTGGTGAGAGCAACAGAGGTGAGTGGTGCAGTGGTGAGAGCAACAGAGGTGAGTGGTGCAGTGGTGAGAGCAGCAGAGGTGAGTGGTGCAGTGGTGAGAGCAACAGAGGTGAGTGGTGCAGTGGTGAGACCAACAGAGGTGAGTGGTGCAGTGGTGAGACCAACAGAGGTGAGTGGTGCAGTGGTGAGAGCAACAGAGCTGAGTGGTGCAGTGGTGAGACCAACTGAGGTGAGTGGTGCAGTGGTGAGAGCAACAGAGGTGAGTGGTGCAGTGGTGAGAGCAACAGAGGTGAGTGGTGCAGTGGTGAGAGCAACAGAGGTGAGTGGTGCAGTGGTGCGAGCAACAGAGGTGAGTGGTGCAGTGGTGAGAGCAATGGAGGTGAGTGGTGCAGTGGTGAGAGCAATGGAGGTGAGTGGTGCAGTGGTGAGAGCAACAGAGGTGAGTGGTGCAGTGGTGAGAGCAACAGAGGTGAGTGGTGCAGTGGTGAGAGCAACAGAGGTGAGTGGTGCAGTGGTGCGAGCAACAGAGGTGAGTGGTGCAGTGGTGAGAGCAACAGAGGTGAGTGGTGCAGTGGTGAGAGCAACAGAGGTGAGTGGTGCAGTGGTGAGAGCAACAGAGGTGAGTGGTGCAGTGGTGAGAGCAACAGAGGTGAGTGGTGCAGTGGTGAGAGCAATAGAGGTGAGTGGTGCAGTGGTGAGAGCAACAGAGGTGAGTGGTGCAGTGGTGAGAGCAACAGAGGTGAGTGGTGCAGTGGTGAGAGCAACAGAGGTGAGTGGTGCAGTGGTGAGAGCAATGGAGGTGAGTGGTGCAGTTGTGAGAGCAACAGAGGTGAGTGGTGCAGTGGTGAGAGCAACAGAGGTGAGTGGTGCAGTGGTGAGAGCAATGGAGGTGAGTGGTGCAGTGGTGAGAGCAACAGAGGTGAGTGGTGCAGTGGTGAGAGCAACAGAGGTGAGTGGTGCAGTGGTGAGAGCAACAGAGGTGAGTGGTGCAGTGGTGAGAGCAACAGAGGTGAGTGGTGCAGTGGTGAGAGCAACAGAGGTGAGTGGTGCAGTGGTGAGAGCAATAGAGGTGAGTGGTGCAGTGGTGCGAGCAACAGAGGTGAGTGGTGCAGTGGTGAGAGCAACAGAGGTGAGTGGTGCAGTGGTGAGAGCAACAGAGGTGAGTGGTGCAGTGGTGCGAGCAACAGAGGTGAGTGGTGCAGTGGTGAGAGCAACAGAGGTGAGTGGTGCAGTGGTGAGAGCAGCAGAGGTGAGTGGTGCAGTGGTGAGAGCAACAGAGGTGAGTGGTGCAGTGGTGAGAGCAATGGAGGTGAGTGGTGCAGTGGTGAGAGCAATGGAGGTGAGTGGTGCAGTGGTGAGAGCAACAGAGGTGAGTGGTGCAGTGGTGAGACCAACTGAGGTGAGTGGTGCAGTGGTGAGAGCAACAGAGGTGAGTGGTGCAGTGGTGAGAGCAACAGAGGTGAGTGGTGCAGTGGTGAGAGCAACAGAGGTGAGTGGTGCAGTGGTGCGAGCAACAGAGGTGAGTGGTGCAGTGGTGAGAGCAACAGAGGTGAGTGGTGCAGTGGTGAGAGCAATGGAGGTGAGTGGTGCAGTGGTGAGAGCAACAGAGGTGAGTGGTGCAGTGGTGAGAGCAACAGAGGTGAGTGGTGCAGTGGTGAGAGCAACAGAGGTGAGTGGTGCAGTGGTGAGAGCAACAGAGGTGAGTGGTGCAGTGGTGAGAGCAACAGAGGTGAGTGGTGCAGTGGTGAGAGCAACAGAGGTGAGTGGTGCAGTGGTGAGAGCAACAGAGGTGAGTGGTGCAGTGGTGAGAGCAACAGAGGTGAGTGGTGCAGTGGTGAGAGCAACAGAGGTGAGTGGTGCAGTGGTGAGAGCAACAGAGGTGAGTGGTGCAGTGGTGAGAGCAACAGAGGTGAGTGGTGCAGTGGTGAGAGCAACAGAGGTGAGTGGTGCAGTGGTGAGAGCAACAGAGGTGAGTGGTGCAGTGGTGAGAGCAATGGAGGTGAGTGGTGCAGTGGTGAGAGCAACAGAGGTGAGTGGTGCAGTGGTGAGAGCAACAGAGGTGAGTGGTGCAGTGGTGAGAGCAACAGAGGTGAGTGGTGCAGTGGTGAGAGCAATGGAGGTGAGTGGTGCAGTGGTGAGAACAATGGAGGTGAGTGGTGCAGTGGTGAGACCAACAGAGGTGAGTGGTGCAGTGGTGAGAGCAACAGAGGTGAGTGGTGCAGTGGTGAGACCAACAGAGGTGAGTGGTGCAGTGGTGAGAGCAACAGAGGTGAGTGGTGCAGTGGTGAGAGCAACAGAGGTGAGTGGTGCAGTGGTGAGAGCAACAGAGGTGAGTGGTGCAGTGGTGAGAGCAATGGAGGTGAGTGGTGCAGTGGTGAGAGCAACAGAGGTGAGTGGTGCAGTGGTGAGAGCAACAGAGGTGAGTGGTGCAGTGGTGAGAGCAACAGAGGTGAGTGGTGCAGTGGTGCGAGCAACAGAGGTGAGTGGTGCAGTGGTGAGAGCAACAGAGGTGAGTGGTGCAGTGGTGAGAGCAACAGAGGTGAGTTGTGCAGTGGTGAGAGCAATGGAGGTGAGTGGTGCAGTGGTGAGACCAACAGAGGTGAGTGGTGCAGTGGTGAGAGCAACAGAGGTGAGTGGTGCAGTGGTGAGAGCAACAGAGGTGAGTGGTGCAGTGGTGAGAGCAACAGAGGTGAGTGGTGCAGTGGTGCGAGCAACAGAGGTGAGTGGTGCAGTGGTGAGAGCAACAGAGGTGAGTGGTGCAGTGGTGAGAGCAACAGAGGTGAGTGGTTCAGTGGTGAGAGCAACAGAGGTGAGTGGTGCAGTGGTGAGAGCAACAGAGGTGAGTGGTGCAGTGGTGAGAGCAATGGAGGTGAGTGGTGCAGTGGTGAGAGCAACAGAGGTGAGTGGTGCAGTGGTGAGAGCAACAGAGGTGAGTGGTGCAGTGGTGAGAGCAACAGAGGTGAGTGGTGCAGTGGTGAGAGCAACAGAGGTGAGTGGTGCAGTGGTGCGAGCAACAGAGGTGAGTGGTGCAGTGGTGAGAGCAACAGAGGTGAGTGGTGCAGTGGTGAGAGCAACAGAGGTGAGTGGTGCAGAGGTGAGAGCAATGGAGGTGAGTGGTGCAGTGGTGAGAGCAACAGAGGTGAGTGGTGCAGTGGTGAGAGCAACAGAGGTGAGTGGTGCAGTGGTGAGAGCAATGGAGGTGAGTGGTGCAGTGGTGAGAGCAACAGAGGTGAGTGGTGCAGTGGTGAGAGCAATGGAGGTGAGTGGTGCAGTGGTGAGAGCAACAGAGGTGAGTGGTGCAGTGGTGAGAGCAACAGAGGTGAGTGGTGCAGTGGTGAGAGCAACAGAGGTGAGTGGTGCAGTGGTGAGAGCAACAGAGGTGAGTGGTGCAGTGGTGAGAGCAATAGAGGTGAGTGGTGCAGTGGTGAGAGCAACAGAGGTGAGTGGTGCAGTGGTGAGAGCAATGGAGGTGAGTGGTGCAGTGGTGAGAGCAACAGAGGTGAGTGGTGCAGTGGTGAGAGCAACAGAGGTGAGTGGTGCAGTGGTGAGAGCAACAGAGGTGAGTGGTGCAGTGGTGAGAGCAACAGAGGTGAGTGGTGCAGTGGTGAGAGCAATAGATGTGAGTGGTGCAGTGGTGAGAGCAACAGAGGTGAGTGGTACAGTGGTGAGAGCAACAGAGGTGAGTGGTGCAGTGGTGAGAGCAACAGAGGTGAGTGGTGCAGTGGTGAGAGCAACAGAGGTGAGTGGTGCAGTGGTGAGAGCAACAGAGGTGAGTGGTGCAGTGGTGAGAGTATCAGAGGTGAGTGGTGCAGTGGTGAGAGCAACAGAGGTGAGTGGTGCAGTGGTGAGAGCAACAGAGGTGAGTGGTGCAGTGGTGAGAGCAACAGAGGTGAGTGGTGCAGTGGTGAGAGCAACAGAGGTGAGTGGTGCAGTGGTGAGAGCAATGGAGGTGAGTGGTGCAGTTGTGAGAGCAACAGAGGTGAGTGGTGCAGTGGTGAGAGCAACAGAGGTGAGTGGTGCAGTGGTGAGAGCAATGGAGGTGAGTGGTGCAGTGGTGAGAGCAACAGAGGTGAGTGGTGCAGTGGTGAGAGCAACAGAGGTGAGTGGTGCAGTGGTGAGAGCAACAGAGGTGAGTGGTGCAGTGGTGAGAGCAACAGAGGTGAGTGGTGCAGTGGTGAGAGCAACAGAGGTGAGTGGTGCAGTGGTGAGAGCAATAGAGGTGAGTGGTGCAGTGGTGCGAGCAACAGAGGTGAGTGGTGCAGTGGTGAGAGCAACAGAGGTGAGTGGTGCAGTGGTGAGAGCAACAGAGGTGAGTGGTGCAGTGGTGCGAGCAACAGAGGTGAGTGGTGCAGTGGTGAGAGCAACAGAGGTGAGTGGTGCAGTGGTGAGAGCAGCAGAGGTGAGTGGTGCAGTGGTGAGAGCAACAGAGGTGAGTGGTGCAGTGGTGAGAGCAATGGAGGTGAGTGGTGCAGTGGTGAGACCAACAGAGGTGAGTGGTGCAGTGGTGAGAGCAACAGAGGTGAGTGGTGCAGTGGTGAGACCAACTGAGGTGAGTGGTGCAGTGGTGAGAGCAACAGAGGTGAGTGGTGCAGTGGTGAGAGCAACAGAGGTGAGTGGTGCAGTGGTGAGAGCAACAGAGGTGAGTGGGGCAGTGGTGCGAGCAACAGAGGTGAGTGGTGCAGTGGTGAGAGCAACAGAGGTGAGTGGTGCAGTGGTGAGAGCAATGGAGGTGAGTGGTGCAGTGGTGAGAGCAACAGAGGTGAGTGGTGCAGTGGTGAGAGCAACAGAGGTGAGTGGTGCAGTGGTGAGAGCAACAGAGGTGAGTGGTGCAGTGGTGAGAGCAACAGAGGTGAGTGGTGCAGTGGTGAGAGCAACAGAGGTGAGTGGTGCAGTGGTGAGAGCAACAGAGGTGAGTGGTGCAGTGGTGAGAGCAACAGAGGTGAGTGGTGCAGTGGTGAGAGCAACAGAGGTGAGTGGTGCAGTGGTGAGAGCAACAGAGGTGAGTGGTGCAGTGGTGAGAGCAATGGAGGTGAGTGGTGCAGTGGTGAGAGCAATGGAGGTGAGTGGTGCAGTGGTGAGACCAACAGAGGTGAGTGGTGCAGTGGTGAGAGCAACAGAGGTGAGTGGTGCAGTGGTGAGAGCAACAGAGGTGAGTGGTGCAGTGGTGAGAGCAACAGAGGTGAGTGGTGCAGTGGTGAGAGCAACAGAGGTGAGTGGTGCAGTGGTGCGAGCAACAGAGGTGAGTGGTGCAGTGGTGAGAGCAACAGAGGTGAGTGGTGCAGTGGTGAGAGCAACAGAGGTGAGTGGTGCAGTGGTGAGAGCAATGGAGGTGAGTGGTGCAGTGGTGAGAGCAACAGAGGTGAGTGGTGCAGTGGTGAGAGCAACAGAGGTGAGTGGTGCAGTGGTGAGAGCAACAGAGGTGAGTGGTGCAGTGGTGAGAGCAACAGAGGTGAGTGGTGCAGTGGTGAGAGCAACAGAGGTGAGTGGTGCAGTGGTGAGAGCAACAGAGGTGAGTGGTGCAGTGGTGAGAGCAACAGAGGTGAGTGGTGCAGTGGTGAGAGCAACAGAGGTGAGTGGTGCAGTGGTGAGAGCAACAGAGGTGAGTGGTGCAGTGGTGAGAGCAACAGAGGTGAGTGGTGCAGTGGTGAGAGCAATGGAGGTGAGTGGTGCAGTGGTGAGAGCAATGGAGGTGAGTGGTGCAGTGGTGAGACCAACAGAGGTGAGTGGTGCAGTGGTGAGAGCAACAGAGGTGAGTGGTGCAGTGGTGAGAGCAACAGAGGTGAGTGGTGCAGTGGTGAGAGCAACAGAGGTGAGTGGTGCAGTGGTGCGAGCAACAGAGGTGAGTGGTGCAGTGGTGAGAGCAACAGAGGTGAGTGGTGCAGTGGTGAGAGCAACAGAGGTGAGTTGTGCAGTGGTGAGAGCAATGGAGGTGAGTGGTGCAGTGGTGAGACCAACAGAGGTGAGTGGTGCAGTGGTGAGAGCAACAGAGGTGAGTGGTGCAGTGGTGAGAGCAACAGAGGTGAGTGGTGCAGTGGTGAGAGCAACAGAGGTGAGTGGTGCAGTGGTGCGAGCAACAGAGGTGAGTGGTGCAGTGGTGAGAGCAACAGAGGTGAGTGGTGCATTGGTGAGAGCAACAGAGGTGAGTGGTGCAGTGGTGAGAGCAACAGAGGTGAGTGGTGCAGTGGTGAGAGCAACAGAGGTGAGTGGTGCAGTGGTGAGAGCAACAGAGGTGAGTGGTGCAGTGGTGAGAGCAACAGAGGTGAGTGGTGCAGTGGTGAGAGCAACAGAGGTGAGTGGTGCAGTGGTGAGAGCAACAGAGGTGAGTGGTTCAGTGGTGAGAGCAACAGAGGTGAGTGGTGCAGTGGTGAGAGCAACAGAGGTGAGTGGTGCAGTGGTGAGAGCAATGGAGGTGAGTGGTGCAGTGGTGAGAGCAACAGAGGTGAGTGGTGCAGTGGTGAGAGCAACAGAGGTGAGTGGTGCAGTGGTGAGAGCAACAGAGGTGAGTGGTGCAGTGGTGAGAGCAACAGAGGTGAGTGGTGCAGTGGTGCGAGCAACAGAGGTGAGTGGTGCAGTGGTGAGAGCAACAGAGGTGAGTGGTGCAGTGGTGAGAGCAACAGAGGTGAGTGGTGCAGAGGTGAGAGCAATGGAGGTGAGTGGTGCAGTGGTGAGAGCAACAGAGGTGAGTGGTGCAGTGGTGAGAGCAACAGAGGTGAGTGGTGCAGTGGTGAGAGCAATGGAGGTGAGTGGTGCAGTGGTGAGAGCAACAGAGGTGAGTGGTGCAGTGGTGAGAGCAATGGAGGTGAGTGGTGCAGTGGTGAGAGCAACAGAGGTGAGTGGTGCAGTGGTGAGAGCAACAGAGGTGAGTGGTGCAGTGGTGAGAGCAACAGAGGTGAGTGGTGCAGTGGTGAGAGCAACAGAGGTGAGTGGTGCAGTGGTGAGAGCAATAGAGGTGAGTGGTGCAGTGGTGAGAGCAACAGAGGTGAGTGGTGCAGTGGTGAGAGCAATGGAGGTGAGTGGTGCAGTGGTGAGAGCAACAGAGGTGAGTGGTGCAGTGGTGAGAGCAACAGAGGTGAGTGGTGCAGTGGTGAGAGCAACAGAGGTGAGTGGTGCAGTGGTGAGAGCAACAGAGGTGAGTGGTGCAGTGGTGAGAGCAATAGATGTGAGTGGTGCAGTGGTGAGAGCAACAGAGGTGAGTGGTACAGTGGTGAGAGCAACAGAGGTGAGTGGTGCAGTGGTGAGAGCAACAGAGGTGAGTGGTGCAGTGGTGAGAGCAACAGAGGTGAGTGGTGCAGTGGTGAGAGCAACAGAGGTGAGTGGTGCAGTGGTGAGAGTATCAGAGGTGAGTGGTGCAGTGGTGAGAGCAACAGAGGTGAGTGGTGCAGTGGTGAGAGCAACAGAGGTGAGTGGTGCAGTGGTGAGAGCAACAGAGGTGAGTGGTGCAGTGGTGAGAGCAACAGAGGTGAGTGGTGCAGTGGTGAGAGCAATGGAGGTGAGTGGTGCAGTTGTGAGAGCAACAGAGGTGAGTGGTGCAGTGGTGAGAGCAACAGAGGTGAGTGGTGCAGTGGTGAGAGCAATGGAGGTGAGTGGTGCAGTGGTGAGAGCAACAGAGGTGAGTGGTGCAGTGGTGAGAGCAACAGAGGTGAGTGGTGCAGTGGTGAGAGCAACAGAGGTGAGTGGTGCAGTGGTGAGAGCAACAGAGGTGAGTGGTGCAGTGGTGAGAGCAACAGAGGTGAGTGGTGCAGTGGTGAGAGCAATAGAGGTGAGTGGTGCAGTGGTGCGAGCAACAGAGGTGAGTGGTGCAGTGGTGAGAGCAACAGAGGTGAGTGGTGCAGTGGTGAGAGCAACAGAGGTGAGTGGTGCAGTGGTGCGAGCAACAGAGGTGAGTGGTGCAGTGGTGAGAGCAACAGAGGTGAGTGGTGCAGTGGTGAGAGCAGCAGAGGTGAGTGGTGCAGTGGTGAGAGCAACAGAGGTGAGTGGTGCAGTGGTGAGAGCAATGGAGGTGAGTGGTGCAGTGGTGAGACCAACAGAGGTGAGTGGTGCAGTGGTGAGAGCAACAGAGGTGAGTGGTGCAGTGGTGAGACCAACTGAGGTGAGTGGTGCAGTGGTGAGAGCAACAGAGGTGAGTGGTGCAGTGGTGAGAGCAACAGAGGTGAGTGGTGCAGTGGTGAGAGCAACAGAGGTGAGTGGGGCAGTGGTGCGAGCAACAGAGGTGAGTGGTGCAGTGGTGAGAGCAACAGAGGTGAGTGGTGCAGTGGTGAGAGCAATGGAGGTGAGTGGTGCAGTGGTGAGAGCAACAGAGGTGAGTGGTGCAGTGGTGAGAGCAACAGAGGTGAGTGGTGCAGTGGTGAGAGCAACAGAGGTGAGTGGTGCAGTGGTGAGAGCAACAGAGGTGAGTGGTGCAGTGGTGAGAGCAACAGAGGTGAGTGGTGCAGTGGTGAGAGCAACAGAGGTGAGTGGTGCAGTGGTGAGAGCAACAGAGGTGAGTGGTGCAGTGGTGAGAGCAACAGAGGTGAGTGGTGCAGTGGTGAGAGCAACAGAGGTGAGTGGTGCAGTGGTGAGAGCAATGGAGGTGAGTGGTGCAGTGGTGAGAGCAATGGAGGTGAGTGGTGCAGTGGTGAGACCAACAGAGGTGAGTGGTGCAGTGGTGAGAGCAACAGAGGTGAGTGGTGCAGTGGTGAGAGCAACAGAGGTGAGTGGTGCAGTGGTGAGAGCAACAGAGGTGAGTGGTGCAGTGGTGAGAGCAACAGAGGTGAGTGGTGCAGTGGTGCGAGCAACAGAGGTGAGTGGTGCAGTGGTGAGAGCAACAGAGGTGAGTGGTGCAGTGGTGAGAGCAACAGAGGTGAGTGGTGCAGTGGTGAGAGCAATGGAGGTGAGTGGTGCAGTGGTGAGAGCAACAGAGGTGAGTGGTGCAGTGGTGAGAGCAACAGAGGTGAGTGGTGCAGTGGTGAGAGCAACAGAGGTGAGTGGTGCAGTGGTGAGAGCAACAGAGGTGAGTGGTGCAGTGGTGAGAGCAACAGAGGTGAGTGGTGCAGTGGTGAGAGCAACAGAGGTGAGTGGTGCAGTGGTGAGAGCAACAGAGGTGAGTGGTGCAGTGGTGAGAGCAACAGAGGTGAGTGGTGCAGTGGTGAGAGCAACAGAGGTGAGTGGTGCAGTGGTGAGAGCAACAGAGGTGAGTGGTGCAGTGGTGAGAGCAACAGAGGTGAGTGGTGCAGTGGTGCGAGCAACAGAGGTGAGTGGTGCAGTGGTGCGAGCAACAGAGGTGAGTGGTGCAGTGGTGAGAGCAACAGAGGTGAGTGGTGCAGTGGTGAGAGCAACAGAGGTGAGTGGTGCAGTGGTGAGAGCAACAGAGGTGAGTGGTGCAGTGGTGAGAGCAACAGAGGTGAGTGGTGCAGTGGTGAGAGCAACAGAGGTGAGTGGTGCAGTGGTGAGAGCAACAGAGGTGAGTGGTGCAGTGGTGAGAGCAACAGAGGTGAGTGGTGCAGTGGTGCGAGCAACAGAGGTGAGTGGTGCAGTGGTGAGAGCAACAGAGGTGAGTGGTGCAGTGGTGAGAGCAACAGAGGTGAGTGGTGCAGTGGTGAGAGCAACAGAGGTGAGTGGTGCAGTGGTGAGAGCAACAGAGGTGAGTGGTGCAGTGGTGAGAGCAACAGAGGTGAGTGGTGCAGTGGTGAGAGCAACAGAGGTGAGTGGTGCAGTGGTGAGAGCAACAGAGGTGAGTGGTGCAGTGGTGAGAGCAACAGAGGTGAGTGGTGCAGTGGTGAGAGCAACAGAGGTGAGTGGTGCAGTGGTGAGAGCAACAGAGGTGAGTGGTGCAGTGGTGAGAGCAACAGAGGTGAGTGGTGCAGTGGTGAGAGCAACAGAGGTGAGTGGTGCAGTGGTGAGAGCAACAGAGGTGAGTGGTGCAGTGGTGAGAGCAACAGAGGTGAGTGGTGCAGTGGTGAGAGCAACAGAGGTGAGTGGTGCAGTGGTGAGAGCAACAGAGGTGAGTGGTGCAGTGGTGAGAGCAACAGAGGTGAGTGGTGCAGTGGTGAGAGCAACAGAGGTGAGTGGTGCAGTGGTGAGAGCAACAGAGGTGAGTGGTGCAGTGGTGAGAGCAACAGAGGTGAGTGGTGCAGTGGTGAGAGCAACAGAGGTGAGTGGTGCAGTGGTGAGAGCAACAGAGGTGAGTGGTGCAGTGGTGAGAGCAACAGAGGTGAGTGGTGCAGTGGTGAGAGCAACAGAGGTGAGTGGTGCAGTGGTGAGAGCAACAGAGGTGAGTGGTGCAGTGGTGAGAGCAACAGAGGTGAGTGGTGCAGTGGTGAGAGCAACAGAGGTGAGTGGTGCAGTGGTGAGAGCAACAGAGGTGAGTGGTGCAGTGGTGAGAGCAACAGAGGTGAGTGGTGCAGTGGTGAGAGCAACAGAGGTGAGTGGTGCAGTGGTGAGAGCAACAGAGGTGAGTGGTGCAGTGGTGAGAGCAACAGAGGTGAGTGGTGCAGTGGTGAGAGCAACAGAGGTGAGTGGTGCAGTGGTGAGAGCAACAGAGGTGAGTGGTGCAGTGGTGAGACCAACTGAGGTGAGTGGTGCAGTGGTGAGAGCAACAGAGGTGAGTGGTGCAGTGGTGAGAGCAACAGAGGTGAGTGGTGCAGTGGTGAGAGCAACAGAGGTGAGTGGTGCAGTGGTGAGAGCAACAGAGGTGAGTGGTGCAGTGGTGCGAGCAACAGAGGTGAGTGGTGCAGTGGTGAGAGCAACAGAGGTGAGTGGTGCAGTGGTGAGAGCAACAGAGGTGAGTGGTGCAGTGGTGAGAGCAACAGAGGTGAGTGGTGCAGTGGTGAGAGCAACAGAGGTGAGTGGTGCAGTGGTGAGAGCAACAGAGGTGAGTGGTGCAGTGGTGAGAGCAACAGAGGTGAGTGGTGCAGTGGTGAGAGCAACAGAGGTGAGTGGTGCAGTGGTGCGAGCAACAGAGGTGAGTGGTGCAGTGGTGAGAGCAACAGAGGTGAGCGGTGCAGTGGTGAGAGCAACAGAGGTGAGTGGTGCAGAGGTGAGAGCAATGGAGGTGAGTGGTGCAGTGGTGAGAGCGACAGAGGTGAGTGGTGCAGTGGTGAGAGCAACAGAGGTGAGTGGTGCAGTGGTGAGAGCAACAGAGGTGAGTGGTGCAGTGGTGAGAGCAACAGAGGTGAGTGGTGCAGTGGTGAGAGCAACAGAGGTGAGTGGTGCAGTGGTGAGAGCAACAGAGGTGAGTGGTGCAGTGGTGAGAGCAACAGAGGTGAGTGGTGCAGTGGTGAGAGCAACAGAGGTGAGTGGTGCAGTGGTGAGAGCAACAGAGGTGAGTGGTGCAGTGGTGAGAGCAACAGAGGTGAGTGGTGCAGTGGTGAGAGCAACAGAGGTGAGTGGTGCAGTGGTGAGAGCAACAGAGGTGAGTGGTGCAGTTGTGAGAGCAACAGAGGTGAGTGGTGCAGTGGTGAGAGCAACAGAGGTGAGTGGTGCAGTGGTGAGAGCAACAGAGGTGAGTGGTGCAGTGGTGCGAGCAACAGAGGTGAGTGGTGCAGTGGTGAGAGCAACAGAGGTGAGTGGTGCAGTGGTGAGAGCAACAGAGGTGAGTGGTGCAGTGGTGAGAGCAACAGAGGTGAGTGGTGCAGTGGTGAGAGCAACAGAGGTGAGTGGTGCAGTGGTGAGAGCAACAGAGGTGAGTGGTGCAGTGGTGAGAGCAACAGAGGTGAGTGGTGCAGTGGTGAGAGCAACAGAGGTGAGTGGTGCAGTGGTGCGAGCAACAGAGGTGAGTGGTGCAGTGGTGAGAGCAACAGAGGTGAGTGGTGCAGTGGTGAGAGCAACAGAGGTGAGTGGTGCAGTGGTGAGAGCAACAGAGGTGAGTGGTGCAGTGGTGAGAGCAACAGAGGTGAGTGGTGCAGTGGTGAGAGCAACAGAGGTGAGTGGTGCAGTGGTGAGAGCAACAGAGGTGAGTGGTGCAGTGGTGAGAGCAACAGAGGTGAGTGGTGCAGTGGTGAGAGCAACAGAGGTGAGTGGTGCAGTGGTGAGAGCAACAGAGGTGAGTGGTGCAGTGGTGAGAGCAACAGAGGTGAGTGGTGCAGTGGTGAGAGCAACAGAGGTGAGTGGTGCAGTGGTGAGAGCAACAGAGGTGAGTGGTGCAGTGGTGAGAGCAACAGAGGTGAGTGGTGCAGTGGTGAGAGTAACAGAGGTGAGTGGTGCAGTGGTGAGAGCAACAGAGGTGAGTGGTGCAGTGGTGAGAGCAACAGAGGTGAGTGGTGCAGTGGTGAGAGCAACAGAGGTGAGTGGTGCAGTGGTGAGAGCAACAGAGGTGAGTGGTGCAGTGGTGAGAGCAACAGAGGTGAGTGGTGCAGTGGTGAGAGCAACAGAGGTGAGTGGTGCAGTGGTGAGAGCAATAGAGGTGAGTGGTGCAGTGGTGAGAGCAACAGAGGTGAGTGGTGCAGTGGTGAGAGCAATGGAGGTGAGTGGTGCAGTGGTGAGAGCAACAGAGGTGAGTGGTGCAGTGGTGAGAGCAACAGAGGTGAGTGGTGCAGTGGTGAGAGCAACAGAGGTGAGTGGTGCAGTGGTGAGAGCAACAGAGGTGAGTGGTGCAGTGGTGAGAGTATCAGAGGTGAGTGGTGCAGTGGTGAGAGCAACAGAGGTGAGTGGTGCAGTGGTGAGAGCAACAGAGGTGAGTGGTGCAGTGGTGAGAGCAACAGAGGTGAGTGGTGCAGTGGTGAGAGCAACAGAGGTGAGTGGTGCAGTGGTGAGAGCAACAGAGGTGAGTGGTGCAGTGGTGAGAGCAACAGAGGTGAGTGGTGCAGTGGTGAGAGCAACAGAGGTGAGTGGTGCAGTGGTGCGAGCAACAGAGGTGAGTGGTGCAGTGGTGAGAGCAACAGAGGTGAGTGGTGCAGTGGTGAGAGCAACAGAGGTGAGTGGTGCAGAGGTGAGAGCAATGGAGGTGAGTGGTGCAGTGGTGAGAGCGACAGAGGTGAGTGGTGCAGTGGTGAGAGCAACAGAGGTGAGTGGTGCAGTGGTGAGAGCAACAGAGGTGAGTGGTGCAGTGGTGAGAGCAACAGAGGTGAGTGGTGCAGTGGTGAGAGCAACAGAGGTGAGTGGTGCAGTGGTGAGAGCAACAGAGGTGAGTGGTGCAGTGGTGAGAGCAACAGAGGTGAGTGGTGCAGTGGTGAGAGCAACAGAGGTGAGTGGTGCAGTGGTGAGAGCAACAGAGGTGAGTGGTGCAGTGGTGCGAGCAACAGAGGTGAGTGGTGCAGTGGTGAGAGCAACAGAGGTGAGTGGTGCAGTTGTGAGAGCAACAGAGGTGAGTGGTGCAGTGGTGAGAGCAACAGAGGTGAGTGGTGCAGTGGTGAGAGCAACAGAGGTGAGTGGTGCAGTGGTGAGAGCAACAGAGGTGAGTGGTGCAGTGGTGAGAGGAACAGAGGTGAGTGGTGCAGTGGTGAGAGCAACAGAGGTGAGTGGTGCAGTGGTGAGAGCAACAGAGGTGAGTGGTGCAGTGGTGAGAGCAACAGAGGTGAGTGGTGCAGTGGTGAGAGCAACAGAGGTGAGTGGTGCAGTGGTGAGAGCAACAGAGGTGAGTGGTGCAGTGGTGAGAGCAACAGAGGTGAGTGGTGCAGTGGTGAGAGCAACAGAGGTGAGTGGTGCAGTGGTGAGAGCAACAGAGGTGAGTGGTGCAGAGGTGAGAGCAATGGAGGTGAGTGGTGCAGTGGTGAGAGCAACAGAGGTGAGTGGTGCAGTGGTGAGAGCAACAGAGGTGAGTGGTGCAGTGGTGCGAGCAACAGAGGTGAGTGGTGCAGTGGTGAGAGCAACAGAGGTGAGTGGTGCAGTGGTGAGAGCAACAGAGGTGAGTGGTGCAGTGGTGCGAGCAACAGAGGTGAGTGGTGCAGTGGTGAGAGCAACAGAGGTGAGTGGTGCAGTGGTGAGAGCAACAGAGGTGAGTGGTGCAGAGGTGAGAGCAATGGAGGTGAGTGGTGCAGTGGTGAGAGCAACAGAGGTGAGTGGTGCAGTGGTGAGAGCAACAGAGGTGAGTGGTGCAGTGGTGAGAGCAACAGAGGTGAGTGGTGCAGTGGTGAGAGCAACAGAGGTGAGCGGTGCAGTGGTGAGAGCAACAGAGGTGAGTGGTGCAGTGGTGAGAGCAACAGAGGTGAGTGGTGCAGTGGTGAGAGCAACAGAGGTGAGTGGTGCAGTGGTGAGAGCAACAGAGGTGAGTGGTGCAGTGGTGAGAGCAACAGAGGTGAGTGGTGCAGTGGTGCGAGCAACAGAGGTGAGTGGTGCAGTGGTGAGAGCAACAGAGGTGAGTGGTGCAGTGGTGAGAGCAACAGAGGTGAGTGGTGCAGTGGTGAGAGCAATGGAGGTGAGTGGTGCAGTTGTGAGAGCAACAGAGGTGAGTGGTGCAGTGGTGAGAGCAACAGAGGTGAGTGGTGCAGTGGTGAGAGCAATGGAGGTGAGTGGTGCAGTGGTGAGAGCAACAGAGGTGAGTGGTGCAGTGGTGAGAGCAACAGAGGTGAGTGGTGCAGTGGTGAGAGCAACAGAGGTGAGTGGTGCAGTGGTGAGAGCAACAGAGGTGAGTGGTGCAGTGGTGAGAGCAACAGAGGTGAGTGGTGCAGTGGTGCGAGCAACAGAGGTGAGTGGTGCAGTGGTGAGAGCAACAGAGGTGAGTGGTGCAGTGGTGAGAGCAACAGAGGTGAGTGGTGCAGTGGTGCGAGCAACAGAGGTGAGTGGTGCAGTGGTGAGAGCAACAGAGGTGAGTGGTGCAGTGGTGAGAGCGACAGAGGTGAGTGGTGCAGTGGTGAGAGCAACAGAGGTGAGTGGTGCAGTGGTGAGAGCAACAGAGGTGAGTGGTGCAGTGGTGAGAGCAACAGAGGTGAGTGGTGCAGTGGTGAGAGCAACAGAGGTGAGTGGTGCAGTGGTGAGAGCAACAGAGGTGAGTGGTGCAGTGGTGAGAGCAACAGAGGTGAGTGGTGCAGTGGTGAGAGCAACAGAGGTGAGTGGTGCAGTGGTGAGAGCAACAGAGGTGAGTGGTGCAGTGGTGCGAGCAACAGAGGTGAGTGGTGCAGTGGTGAGAGCAACAGAGGTGAGTGGTGCAGTTGTGAGAGCAACAGAGGTGAGTGGTGCAGTGGTGAGAGCAACAGAGGTGAGTGGTGCAGTGGTGAGAGCAACAGAGGTGAGTGGTGCAGTGGTGAGAGCAACAGAGGTGAGTGGTGCAGTGGTGAGAGCAACAGAGGTGAGTGGTGCAGTGGTGAGAGCAACAGAGGTGAGTGGTGTAGTGGTGAGAGCAACAGAGGTGAGTGGTGCAGTGGTGAGAGCAACAGAGGTGAGTGGTGCAGTGGTGAGAGCAACAGAGGTGAGTGGTGCAGTGGTGAGAGCAACAGAGGTGAGTGGTGCAGTGGTGAGAGCAACAGAGGTGAGTGGTGCAGTGGTGAGAGCAACAGAGGTGAGTGGTGCAGTGGTGAGAGCAATAGGGGTGATTGGCTCACAGGTGGGACCATGGGAGCATGCATGAGGGGATGCATGACGTGAGAGCATGTGGGTATTGGAGCATGCATGAGGTTTTTGAAAGGGTTCTCAACGTCTTTCCTTCCTTCCCTCCCTTCCTCCCCCACCACTCTCCCCCGACCACATCAGGTTGAACGTGGCTCACTATGTCGCCCATCCCACAGCAGCCACATCTGCTGCCTCCTCCTCCTCCCCCTGGGCTCTCGCCTTTGGCGCTGCCGGCTCCCCCTCCCCCATCCCTGTCCTCCGCGCCCCTGCGTGGCCACCTCTCACACGTCTCAAACGCCACCAAGCTGCTGAAATACTGAGAGGGTTCTCAACGTCTGTCCTTCCTTCCCTCCCTTCCTCCCCCCCCACTCTCCCCCGACCACATCAGGTTGAATGTTGCGCGCTATATCGCCCATCCCACAGCCGCCACATTTTCTACCCACGCCTCCTCCCCCTGGGCTCTCGCCTTCGGTGCTGCCGGCTCTGCCTCCTCCATCCCTGTCCTCCGCGCCCCTGCCTGGGCCGGCCTCAAGCCCTCCAAGCACAGAGAGAGCGCGGATTTAGGGTTTGGGATGCGGAGTTTGATGGAACCTGAGTGGGATACTGTCATGGGTTCTGTTGCTGCTGCTTTTGCTGCACAGGGGGGAGGGGGGGTTATGGGGGATGGGGGGGACGGGAAAGGGGGGAGGGGGGGGAAGGGGGCAAAGGGGGGGAGGCCGTCAGGGATTGGTGCTTCGGCAGCCAATCGGTATTGGTCGCCCTGGAATGCCGTTTCCGAACGGAGCAAGGAGGTTCGGAGGGTGCGGTTCGGCAAAGGGCAGGTGCGGGGAGGAGGGAGGGTGGAAGAGGAGGGAGAGGAGGAAGGGAGCGAGGAGGGGAAGCACAAAAGGGATGTTCCTAGTGGTGCTGCTGATGCCACTGCCCCTGCTGCTGCCAGTGCTCCTACCACCTCTTTGCCGTACAAAATTGGGAGGTTTGCATCGGAAACAGACCCAGGGGATGATGGGGAAGAAGGAGATGAAACGGACAGTTTTCTCCCCTTAGAGCCTCCTGTTCCTCCTGTATCGTCAACCTCTGGCATTCGCAAACTCACAGCCGCTGCTGCTGTGAGAAAACAGCAGAGAGAAGAGGGGAGAGGGGTTGGTGAGGAGGGGGTGGGGGGTGTGGGGAGGAAGGAGGAGGAGGGGGAGGAAGAGGGGGAGACGTGGGATGAGTACGTGTTTCGCCGGACGAGGGAGTTCAATGAGGACACAAGGCGCCGCCCGCTGGACGAGCAGCTGTGGCTGCGGTTTGTCTCTTTCCAGGACGAGGCGGCGACGGGCGGCGGTGGCGGGCGGCACCGGGCGGCGGTGCTGCGGCAAGTGACGGAGAAAAAGGTGGCCGTGTTGGAGCGAGCGCTGCAGCACGTGGGAGACAGCGAGGCGGTGGTGTTGACGTACCTGCACACGTGCAGTGGGCGGTGAGTGATGCCCTTTCAGGTAGCATGGTAGGATCAGGTATCTGAAAAAAGTGACAGTGTTGGAGCGAGCACTGCAGCACGTGGGGGAGAGTGAGGCGGTGGTTCTCACTTATCTGCACACGTGCAGTGGGCGGTGAGTGGCTGTTGTACTCTACACCTTGTGGTGAGTGGCTGTTGTACTCTACACCTTGTGGTGAGTGGCTGTTGTACTCTACACCTTGTGGTGAGTGGCTGTTGTACTCTACACCTTGTGGTGAGTGGCTGTTGTACTCTACACCTTGTGGTGAGTGGCTGTTGTACTCTACACCTTGTGGTGAGTGGCTGTTGTACTCTACACCTTGTGGTGAGTGGCTGTTGTACTCTACACCTTGTGGTGAGTGGCTGTTGTACTCTACACCTTGTGGTGAGTGGCTGTTGTACTCTACACCTTGTGGTGAGTGGCTGTTGTACTCTACACCTTGTGGTGAGTGCACTACTGGTGTGGTGACCTTGCTCCATGGGTGAGAGAGAAAAAGGTGGCCGTGTTGGAGCGAGCACTGCAGCACGTGGGAGACAGCGAGGCGGTGGTGTTGACATACCTGCGCACGTGCAGTGGCCGGTGAGTGGTTCTCCGCAGCATTGCACCGTGTGGTAAGTGGCTGTGTTGGAGCGAGCGCTGCAGCACGTGGGAGACAGCGAGGCGGTGGTGTTGACATACCTGCGCACGTGCAGTGGCCGGTGAGTGGTTCTCCGCAGCATTGCACCGTGTGGTAAGTGGCTGTGTTGGAGCGAGCGCTGCAGCACGTGGGGGAGAGCGAGGCGGTGGTTCTCACGTACCTGTACACTTGCAGTGGACGGTGAGTGTGTAGTGAGTGTGCTACTGGTGACCCGTGATTCAGCAGGTGACAGAGAAGAAGGTGGCTGGGTTGGAGCGAGTGCTGCAGCACGTGGGGGAGAGCGAGGCGGTTGTGTTGACATATCTTCACACGTGCAGTGGCCGGTGAGTCACTGCCCTGCCCTGCAGCACTGCACCTTATAGTGACGTGAGCCTGCAGCCATGGCAGGTGGTGGAGAAGAAGGTGGCAGTGTTGGAGCGAGTGCTGCAGCACGTGGGGGAGAGTGAGGCGGTTGGTTCTCTCTCCTCCGCTCTTCAATGCAGCAGCTGCAGCAGCAGTAGCAGCACACATCCCTCCTCTCCTCTCTCCTCCGCTCCCCTCTCATCGCCTCTTTTACCCCCCCACTCCCCTTCCATCCAGAGATGACGCCGCCACGCTAGACGCCAAGTGGCGCAGCGCCATTGGCCACAGCCCTGGCAGTGCGAATCTTTGGCGGGGCTACATACGGTGGCAGAGGGGGCAGTTCGCAGGGTTCACAGTGGGGAGGATCAGGGAAAGCTTCATTGCAGCGATACGTGCTCTGGTGGGACGCAGGAACCAAGCGTGGCGCGAGGTGGGTGCATGGGGTTCAACAATGAAAGAGGCACTAGCAAATGGGCACCGTCACAGCACACAGGCGGCAGTGAGAGCAGGTACGTCTAGGGGAAGAGAAGGCAGTTTGCAACATTCACTGTGGGGAAGATCAGGGAGAGCTTCTTTGCAGCCATCCGCGCTCTGGTGGGCCGGAGGAACCAAGTGTGGTGCGAGGTGAGCCTGTGTGGGGCGTGTGCTGTGCTGGTCGAATTGATGGTGGGTCACGGCACAAAGGGAGCAGTGAGTGGGCTGCGTAAAGGGCACGAACGCAAGCTTGTTCCCACTGCCTCCTCTTCTCTGCCCACAACCCTCTCCCTGCGTGCCTTCCCTTCCCACTGCCTGCTTTCCCTCCTCTCCTTCCATCTTAACCACTCTTTCGTCGTTTTCATTCGTTCCCATTCTTTTCTCATTCTCCCCATTCGTGCAGCTCCAGCAGAAGCCTAACGACCCAATGAGAACCCGCCAGCTGGCGGCATCAGAAATCGCAGCAGTGGACATGCTGGTGGACTCGTGCCGCTTCGAGCACCAATCAGGGCACGCTGAGCTGGCAGTGGCGCTGCTGCAGGCCGAGACGGAGTACGCCGTCCGGCCGCCGCCCCTGCCCTTGTCCTTTTCTGAGGGTAGCAAGTTGCGGCTGTTTCAGGCGTTTTGGGAGGGGGGAGGGGAGAGAGTAGGGGAGGAGGGGGGGATAGGGTGGTCTGCGTGGTTGGCTAGAGAGGAGGGGTGTGGGATGGGGGGAGAGGGAGAGGGAGGGGGGGGGCGTGGGGGTGGTGAGGGTAAGGGTGAGGAAGAGGAGGAAGAAGAGGAGGAGGAGGAGGAGGAGAAAGGGGGATGGACTGGGTGGCAGGAGATTGTTAGGAAGGGAGAGGGTGGGGGAGAGGAGGCGGAGGAGGTGAAGGAAGGGCATGGAGAGGAGGGGGAAGAGGGAGAGAAACAAGGGGGCAAAGATTCAGAGGGAGAGGAGGAGGAGGAGGATGAGGAGGAAGAGGAAGAAGAGGAGGAGGAGGAGGATGAGGGTTTGCTAGAGGCAGAGCTGATGGAACGACTCAAAGCGGGGAAGGACGGGGCAGGTGGTGGTGGTGGCGCTGGTGGCGGTGCTGCTGACGTGGCAGGCGAGGATTGGGTGAAGGACCCGGGCGTGTGGCAGCGGTGGGCGGCAGAGGAGAGGAGGAGGGAGAGCAGGCAATGGCAGCCAATGCGAGGTGAGACACTGAGGCGTTGTGCAGAAGCAACTACTCCAGGTGGAATGAGAATGTGAGGAGTTGACTCTCTCATCCACGCACCCGTTCCCACGCACCCGTTCCCACCACCAGCCTCAGGGAGGGGCAAAGGGGATGAAGAGCAAGCAGAGCAGGACGAGGAAGAGGCAGAGGAGGAGGAGGAGGAGGCGCTTGAACGGGTGGTGGAGTATGAGGATGTGAGGAGCCGACTCCTTTCTCTTCACCCCTTGCTTGCTCGTGCAGCACACAAGGGCAAAAGGCGTGAAGAGCAAGCAGACGAGGAGGCGGAGCCGGGGCGAATGGTGGAGTATGAGGATGTGAGGAGTGGACTGTTTTGTAACCCGCCCCTCGCCTTCCCATGCGTTCGTTCGCCTTTCCACTTCCAGGAGCAGGGAAGGGGAAAAGGGACGAAGAGGAGGATGAAGAAGAGGAAGAGGAGGAGTTAGAGAGGGTGGTGGGGTACGAGGATGTGAGGAGCCGATTCTTCTCTACTACTCCCTCCCCTACTTTCTCATGCGTTCATTGCCCTTCCCCGTCCGTCCCTTGATGAGCACCAGCAGAGAAGGGCAAAAGGGATGAAGAAGAGAACGAAGGTGGGGAGGACGAGGAAGAGGAGGAGTTGGAGAGGGTGGTGGAGTATGAGGATGTGAGGAGCCGACTCTTCTCTTTGCACTCCGAAGCAGCAAAGCAACACCTGCTGCTCACTGCTGCAGCCTTCTTTGATGCTCCCCTGCCTGCTTGGTGAGTGGCTGTATGTAGTGGTGTGGTGGGTGGGTGGTGGTGGCTAGGTGCTGCTACCTGCTGCATCTCTCTCCACTCACTTGCCACTCGCTGCTGCTGCCTTCTTTGATGCTCCCCTGCCTGCCTGGTGAGAGGCTGCAGTGGTGGGTGGTGGGTCAGTCAGTGTAGCATCCCTTTCTATCAGGGATAACCACTCCTGTGGCGTGAAGCGAGTGTGATTGAGAAAGGCTGTGCGCGGTCTGTAGGAGTGAGAATGAAATGCGAGGGACTGAGTCTTTTTACGCATCTGTTATGAGTAGCTATGGATGAAGAAATCAGGAGTTTGTGCAGGAAATCTGGAGTAATGAGGAGACACCGCGCTTTTTGCAATAGTTCATTCTCTTCTCTTATAAAGAGTCCTGGAATGTGCTTATGAAGAGCATTTTCTGCCTCTTGTCCTCCCATATAACAGGCGCAGCAGCAACGACAGCAGTTTCCTAGAAGCTTCAGAATCTCTGGTCAGCATTCCACGCTCCATCACAGCCCCCTTTCAGATTCCAACCTCTCATCATGCCCCAAAGGGTGGTGCCAGTGGTGGTGGGGGCGTCGATGCTACTGCCCCAACTGCTGCTTCTTTGGGAGGAGCAGGAGAAACGGAAGCAGCAGCGGCAGGGGCAGCAGAAGGGGGAGTAGCAGGGGAGGAGGAGGAGGAGCAAGGGAACTTGGCCCACGGTGCTGCTGTGCTAGACTCTCTTGCTGGTGGCCCTATGTGGCTCGACGCATGGGGGGATGAAGGAGAGAGGGAAGGGAGATGGGGAGGAGAGGGGGAGGAGGGGGGTGGTGGGGGAGGAGATGGGGATGGGGAGGGGGAAGGGGGGGAGGGAGAGGATGGGGGGGGGGAGAGGGTGCGGTTTGTGCGCAACTTCCTGGAACTTGCGTGCCAGTGGATCCCCGACGATAAGCACCTGCAGGAGGCCCTGGTGGTGACGTCAGCTGCAGCTGTAGCTGCTACAGCTGCTGCTGCTACAGTGCGTTCTGCACACGTACCACAGCATGTGAGGGGATCTGCTGACGGCGCTGCTACAGCCGTGGATGGAGCAGCAGCAGGGAAGAGGAGAGGGGGCACAGCCGCTGCCATAGTAGCTGTGCTGGAGAGAACAAGGGGCAGGGAATTCGGTGCCTCACACTCTGCTACAGCTGCTGCTTCTGCTGTAGATTGTCAGCCAGCAGTATCGGAACCGCACCTGCTCCTGGGCCATCCTGATTGGCCGATGGCTAGCTCCTGCTTCAGCCAATCAACAGCGGCAGCAGCAGGACCAGCAGCAGGAGATGAGTCAGCAGCAACAGCCAAGGCGGTGAGAGCAGCTAAGGCGGAGGTGAAGAGGCTGTTAAAGACGCGGCGGCAGGACCTGGGTCTGTGGGCTGTGTATGCCCGGCTGGAGGCAGAGTGTGGCAACCTGGACGCTTCCAGGAAGGTTCTCGACACGGCACTGGCTTCTGTTGCTGCTCTCCCAAAGGTCTGTTCTCGGGTCATTTGAGACGTCCTGGAAGCTTTCAGGGGTCTTATTTATCGTCTCAAAAACGTCGTGAAGTTTTCAGGTCATTCCACCAAAGTGTATGGCGTTTTTGCTGCACTGCTCACTCCGAAGTGACTCTCTTGACTCGCTTTCTTTACTTTCTTGACTGCCTTGACTTTCTTGACTGCCTTGACTTTCTTGACCGGCTCTAAAATGTGTGTTGTTTCCATGTCTCCCCTTTGCCAGAACTCCTGAACTCGTTCTTTCTTCTTGCCCTCCCGTGCTCTCATCTGGCCATCCATGCTCCCCATTCTTCCAGTCCGCAGCTGAAGCCACGCCTCTCCTTGTGCTCGCATACACCCACATACAGCTATCCCCAACCAGTCACTCTACCAACCAACACCGGAATCACCAGCAGCAGCAACGGCGGCCGCAGAGCAGTAAGGGTCATATGCAGTGGACTACCAACCAGCACTGGTGTTCCCTCCACACTCTTGCCTCTTTCGCGGCATCTGCCCCTTTTTCTGCCCCACCGCCACTCCCTCCGCAACTCGACCCGTCTGGGTTGGAAGAAAGCTGGCGGACTACAACCCCCTCCTCCTGGGCAGTTTGTAAATATTTCCCTCAAGCTGCCCTGATACGCGCTCGGGCAGGGTTCCACTTGAAGCTGCAAGAAGCAAAGAAATTCATTGCAGCTTCAGCTGCTGCCGCCGCCGCTGCTGCTTCAGCTTCTCTCCCCACATTTTCCACCAACCCCTCTGCTGTTAAACTTGGTGCTAGTACCAACCCAACACCTTTCACGTCTGCTGTTGGCGATGGGAGGCTGGCACAAGCGGAGGAGAGCAGCAGGGCAACAGCAGCAGTGGCAGTGGTGCTGTGTGCGTGTCTCTTTGAGCTCTTGGCAGCGCCGTCTCTCCCTGAAGGGGTTGCAGCCGCTGCTGCGGTGGTGGATGGGTGCATTGCTGCGGTGCTGCCTGGCCGCCGTGCCTGCTGTCTCCCTCTGGAGCTGCTCTTTGAAAGATATGCCTCGCTGCTGCTGCACGCCCTGCCAGGTAACACAGACTCCCTCCCTTTAGCCATCTTCCACCCCCTTCCTTACTCCCACCTCCAAGCACACAGCCATCCAGCCACACTTCCTTACTCCCTCCCTAAACCCGATACCCTGCTTTTTTTCAAGTTCCCTTCTTTCCTATTCCTCCCCCCCAAACCCCACCCTTCTCCACCTTCCTTTCACTTCCTCTTCCCCATTCCAGCCATCCCGCCACAGCAGGTGCGGAGAGTGGTGCTGCAGGGTTTGAAGGAGTTCCCCAGCAACGTGCACCTTCTTGGAACCTTCCTGCGGCTGGAGTCCCGCAGTGCGTTCACCAACAGCATCCGGCGTTTCTTCGACCAAACCACCGCCAGGTCAGCAACGCCACGTCAGCAGCCAGGTCAGCAACGCCACATCAGCACCCAGGTCAGCAATGCCACGTTAGCAGCCAGGTCAGCATGGCTGTATCATGTCCCTGCAAGGAACCTGAGTATTGCTACCTTCGGTAGAAAGGCCTCCTGTAGAAAGCCCGACTGGCGTCCTACCTACCTTTGGTAGCCCTTCTCAATTCTTGTCACACCCATTGTGGCTCGTAGGCCATCTACAACTCTCATCTCTACCAACCTTCCTACCGTTGAAACTTGTGGACCTTGGGGTCTAAAATATGCGGCATTCCAACCACCCTCTCCCTCCCTTCCCCTCCAGACTGTCCCACCCACCCCTCACCACTCCTCTGGTTGCTCAGTCTCCTGGTTATGTACCTCAAAACATCTAACCCACCTCCCTCTCTCCCCAACCATCCTCTTCCTTCCCTCCCAGCCTGTCCCAATCCTCCTCACCGCTCCTCTGACTGCTCAATTTCCTGGTTGACTTTTGAGCTGCCTCAAAACATATCTTCTACCTACCACTATCTCCCTCCCCTGCAGACTACCCCACCCCTCACCACTCCTCTGGCTGCTCAGTCTCCTGGTTGAGGTGGCAAGGCCGGGGGCCCGTCCACGTGTGCGCGGGTTACTGGAACGGGCTCTTGCCAGCTCAGCAAAGGGGAGTGGGCAATGCGTGCTGATGTGGCGGCTGTACATTGGTTATGAGCTCCACATCAGCCGGAATACCGATGCTGCGCGGAGAGTGTTCTTCAGAGCCATCCACACATGTCCCTGGTGAGTTTGATATGAGATGTTATTTTTCCGTATATTTCTCACTATGGTGCTTTTTATTCATTGTTTTTTGTCCTCCATGTGACAAAAGTGATGCCATGTGCGCCCGTTATGATGTTCCCTCTTATTGTTGGATTATTCTGCAGGTCCAAGGCCTTGTGGTTGGATGCCTTCACGCAACTCCATGGGGTAATCAAGGGAGAGGAGCTGAACGAGCTTGCCAACATGATGAGGGACAAAGAGCTGCGGCTGCGCACTGATGTATACGAAATCTTGCTTCAAGATGCTCAATAAGCATGGCATGGCATGCATTTTGTATGTGAAAGACAGTGAATTGTGGTTATCAGAAGTGTATTTTATTTTGTTGTATAACGTTTTCGTTCAACAGTTGATTACCAAGCGCCAGGTGGAGGATTCTGGGCTGCCAGCGTGAATCCAAGAATTACGTTGGCGTATGGCAGGCGATGCTGCTGAGGACTGAATCTGGCTTTCCACGTGTAACATTGCCACGTGGAAGCATTGTTCCTTCGCATGCGGTTCGTGCTCACCCAAAGCAAAAATCTGCTGATTCACGTCGAGGCTGTGTTCAAATCTTGCGTTTCTAGCAAAGCTGTTAGCTCACGCGTGCTGGTTACTGATATCTGTAGTCTCAAGTCTCGCCGTTCGTTCCCTCCTCTGTTAGGCGAGACAGATGACTCTTCGAATTCAACTAACTCTGATCAGGAAGTTAGCCAAATTTCACGTTCTGCAGCTGTGTCCTTCGACCTCCTCGTTTAACTAAACGCGGTTGATCAGGAATATGGCGTCCGCCGTTCTCTCCCTGCCCACGTTCTCCCCGCTTTCAGCGACGAGGCTCACATGCAGACGGAATGCGGCTCAGAAGACATTGAGACAACGACCGCTCGTCGTTGCGTCAGCGGTACAATCTACGAAACCCACGCTTGTAGCTGAGCCTGTGAGTGTCGCTCGCGAAACGACGGATCCCGCCGTGCGATCGACGGCAGCGGCGGTTTTCACGTCGCTCGCGACGTTCTTCCCCGCGGCGCTTCCCGTTCTTGCGGAGGAGGCAGTTGTTGATGCCGCTTCTGACGCTGCTGCAGTGGCTCCGGACTGGCTCGGTTACGTGTTGCTCGCGATTCCGCTGGTGGCTTATGGCGGATTCTACTTGTTCCGATCTGCGGTGAGTTTTTTTTCCCGCGTTTACAATCTTCACCTAGTGGGGTGGGTTCAATTCGACCGCTGAGCTGGTTGGATCAAGCAATGTGCCGTAATCTGGAACGGATGTTATGTTGTTAGTTCAGTACGCCAGTTATCCCCAATGTTACGCCAGTTACCACGGGATATCAACCTGTGTGTACGGAAATTTAAGGAAAATACACACGAAAAAATGTACACCAGGTCTGTTTGTCAGGAAACCATGAACTCTTGTGTCTGTCTGAAAACCATGGCATCTGCGTGTTCTTCGCCGTGACTGCAGGTGAACCCCAAGGCTGGTCTCTTGGACTATGCGTTCGTTCTCGTGGCGACGGTTATTGTCGCCAACATTCTGACCTCGCTCTTCCTTAAGGTACAGTGAGTTCGCGTTTTAGGAACAAGGATTTGTGTTCATCGCTCCTTCCGTCCATCCGTCCTTCCATCCGTCCATCCGTCCATCCGTCCGTCCATCCATCCATCCATCCATCCATCCATCCATCCATCCATCCATCCATCCATCCATCCATCCATCCATCCATCCATCCATCCATCCATCCATCCATCCATCCATCCATCCATCCATCCATCCATCCGTCCGTCCGTCCGTCCGTCCATCCATCCATCCATCCATCCGTCCGTCCGTTCATTAATTAAATATCATTAGTTCCTTTTCATGCGCGTCTACTGGTGTGGTACAACAATGGCTGCCAGCCTTATGCTTCAGCACAGACTATCTTTGCAAAATTCTACTCACTTGTGGATATGTTACACAGACCTGTTACCACCACCGAGTCATGCTTCCGCGTCTCATTGACTAGTGCATAAGAAACCATTACGTTTTACTTGTTCCATTCCAATTTGAGGTCCGTTGCGGCTTTTTCCCAATGTCACCCATCAGTCATTTTTTCCAGTACATTCTCTCGCTTCTGTCACTTCTCTCGCCCTTCCTCTCTTTCATAATTCTCTTCACCTTGGTTTGTCTATGACTCCTCTCCCTCCCACCCACCCCTACCCCCTCCATCCTCCACCCAACTAACACTTTCTTCTCATTTCTGTCCGCGTTTCCATCTGCCCCTCTCCCCTTGGCAGGTTCGCATCTATTGATTGTTGTGGAGCTCAAATGCCACCCCTTTTTTGCTCCACAAACAAACGAGAAGCATTTAAATGCCATTTTGCTACAAGCTCCTACCGCGATAGGAGTGTCCATGTATTTTGCTAGTAGAACGAGTTTTGCCATAGATGGAAAATGGGGAGTATTTTGTACTTTCCAGCACCATGCTGACCAAGCTTTGCAATGCCAAGCAAGCTTGGCTGTAGCTTTTGAATAAAAACCTTGTTTTGTCTGTAAGCAGTACAAGATGAGAACCTTATGTGACACATGCAGAGTCATTGATTCTGAATACGGACTGCACTTCATTCTCACCTTTCTCTATGTTAGCCACTCCCCTTCTTGAACACGCCATGCACCCACACGCGCTTCATCTCCCTACCCTTCCTCCGATTCTCATTCCGCACACAACAGTATTCCACCTCCTCGCACTCAAACCCAGCAGCACCCGTTAGCACCCGAACCTCTTCCACTGAAAAGAAGTACGCTAGAGTGCCGTCTCCCCGCTCGTATAACCGGTCATTGGCACAGCTCAGGTTGTGATTTTCCCTGCTCAAAGTCTCCTCGTGCCAGCTCTGCTGTACTCCTTCTCTCCTCTGCCTCTCTCGTCCTTGCCCCCTTTGTTCCTCGCCCTCCATCTCCTGCTGCTCGTTCACCTGTTGCTGAGACAGCCTTTGCTCCTCTAGCCGTTCCCGCTGTATCCTCTGCTGCTCCTTCTCCTCCTCCTGCTGCTGCTGCTGCTCCCGCTGCTGCTGCACACGTTGCTGCTGCAGGCGAAACATGACCATGTCAAACACCCCATAGTCTCTGAACAGCAAGAGCCCCCCCGGGGCCAGCACAGAGTGGATCTGCCTCAGTGCATGCAGCATGCGGTTTGGGTGCAGCGCCGACAGAGTAAAGACGCACAACGCCGCCTGGAATTCTGGAGGAGAGGGTCTAGCCACGGGCGGCACAGAGCCCAGCGCAGGTTTGTTGCATCCGGACGGAGGAGCCGGGCTGTGAGATGCTTGCATCAAAGCGAATTCGCCGGATTCACCAGATTCGCCGGATATAGACACAGCAGGGTGTTCACTCACTCCAGGTGCAGTGAATCTGGACGTCAGGGCAGCCTGAAGGTCCCCCTGTGCCACGTCACACACAAACCCCCGGAACCGGCGTGTGGCTGTGTGCTGCCCCAGGGCGTGAGAGAGAGTGTGGGTGGTGAGGGAGACAGCTGTGGGGCTGATGTCACATGCTGCTAGGCAGACTTGAGTGGTGGCTCTGGGAGGAAAGAAGGGAGAAGGACACGCAGGGGAAGAAGGGAGGCAGGGATAGTGTGGGTGGTGAGGGAGACGGCTGTGGGGCTGATGTCAGACGCTGCTAGGCAGATTTGAGTGGTGGCTCTGAGAGGAAAAAAAGGGGGACGGAACACGAAGTGAGGAAGGCCATAAGACAAACAGACACTGTGTGAGGGAGACAGCCGTGGGGCTGATGTCACATGCTGCTAGGCAGGTTTGAGTGGTGGCTCTGGGAGGAAAGAAGGGAGAAGGACAAGCAGGGGAAGAAAGGGAGGCAAGGAGAGTGTGGGTGGTGAGGGAGACGGCCGTGGGGCTGATGTCACATGCTGCTAGGCAGACTCGAGTGGTTGCTCCGGGAGGAAAGAAGGGAGAAGGACAAGCAGGGGAAGACCGTGGTTGTCACATGCTGCTAGACAGACGTCTTTGTCTTTGGTAGTTCCGTGTGGGAATGGAGGGAGGTGAGGGTGCGGTGCGGGGTGGCGGTTGAAGAGCACAAAGGGAGATGAAGGAGGTGCTAGAAGACAAAGAAGTTGCAGGAGACGCGAGAGTGCAATGAAGTTGAGGGTACACCCACCCGCCGGCCATACTGAGCTTGCAGCTATCCAGCGGTTTTTTCAATTGAGTTGAGGGCATCGGGGAAAGCCGATGTTGTCTGTCACACACGCACTCACTACCCACGCCACCCACAACACACTCAGGTACCACAGTAAGCTCACTCACCGCAGAATGGCTAGTGCTGAGCTGCCGCTGCCGCATCCCACTTCCAGAATCCACGGCAGAGGAGATGGGGATGCTGGCGAGGGGTCATGGCATGGTGACGATGAGGGGTCATGGCATGGTGATGATGAGGGGTCATGGCATGGTGATGATGAGGGGTCATGGCATGGTAATGAGGGGTCATGGCATGGTAACGAGGGGTCATGGCATGGTAACGAGGGGTGATGGCATGGTGGGGAACGGGATGCTGCTGGTACAGTGCACTCTCCCCTCTCTGCTGCTTCAGCAGCAGCTGATGCCACCACGCGTTCTGCTAACTGTGCTTGTATTAATTCATGCTCCTGTACTGAATGTGACTCTAACGAGAGGATCTGAGGGAACGCGTGCAGCAGGTATCGCCGCTCCTTGAAGAACTGGGCCGTCCGATGCTGCTGATGAAACCCGTCCCAAGCCTCCGAGACAGGTTCGGCAGCGCTGGTCCTGGCAACCACGTCTTGAGAATCTACGGTAGCGGCCTTTCTCTCGTTCTGTTTGCGCCGCTGCCGGTCCTGCCGATGCTGCTGCTGCTGCTGCTGCTGCTGCCGTGTCTGCTGCTTCCGTTGTTGCTTTTCGCTGCCGGAAGAACTCCGGGCAGAACGACTTTCTGTGCCACCACCCTTCGCATTCACACTTCTTACAGACGTCTCTGATCTCCCTTTGTCAGATGTCTCAGTACTCCTTTCGAAACAACATTTTGTGCATTGTCCGACCATCGCTTCTTGATCTCGCCGTTCAGATGTCGGGATGCTAAGGGTGGTACAATCCAACGGTCCAAATGCTTCTTCCCAATCAAGCCGCACCTCCTCCCACTCAAAATCACGGCTGTGGTACTCGCATGCTATCGGCTTCCTCGAATCTTTGCGCGATGAGTGCATTGCAGGATAGCCCATGCATAAGGAGCGTGGGCATAAAAATTACGCTATTAGTTTTTCAGCGGTCTCAGCGGCTGCTTGCAATAGCGTATGCGGAAAACACAGGGACGTTTCAAATTGCAAATTGCAATAACAAATTCAGAAGTTGAATCAATAAGGGACGTTTCCGAACCAAAGGATAGAAAAGATGGACTTTGTTGATAATGATTCTGAATTGAGGATTACTAAAGCATATGCCACAATAATTTCCTAAATTATACAATCAATGTTGTAAATTTTAGTCCATATTCTAGCCACAGTCATATAACTAGAATGTCTGTGAAGGAAAAGCCGGCGGTTTATTACCCGGCTTTATTATCCCCTGTCCCAGCATCTGCTGGAGCTGCTGCTGCTGCAGCCGCAACAACATAGAATTACCCATCAAATCTCCATCGCTCCTTCTCATGCTCCCCCCCATGCCACCATCCAAACCACTGCCACCAATGCTCCTCACACCATTCACAACCCCGCAATAAACACTTCCTTCTTCGGCACTCCTAGCCCTCCTCTCACTCGCCTGGGTTGAACAAATCCCTCTCTCTTCGGACGAATCACCACGTGACATGTGTACCTGCCCACTGTAGCTGTGACCATGCTGGTGGTGCCTTTGCTGCTGGCTTTGCTGCTGCTGGGGCTGTTGCTGCAGTTGCTGCTGCTTCTGATGCTGCTGCTGCTGTTGCCGTTGCTGCTGCTGCTGCTGCTGCTGCTGCTGTAAAACCCCTTCTCCGTTCACACTGGCACAAGTGCTTGTGCTCATAGTCCTGGCTATACTCTTTACAGAAGCACTCATTACCACATCCTCGAGCCCTCCCAACCGTCCCCACGCCCCTGCCTCCTCCATCACAGCATCTCCCTCGTCCTTCACACGTGAGATGGACGGTCCAGATGCTACCCCAGCTGCCACGTGTCCTGATCCTACAGCAGAGGGAATTGGTGGTACAGGACACTTCGATATCCCTTGCATCTGCAGTTGCCCTTGCTGCTTCCCTTGCTGCTGGTGCCATTGCTGCTGCCCTTGTTGCTGCTGCCCTTGTTGCTGCTGCCATTGCTGCTGCCCTTGTTGCTGCTGCCATTGCTGCTGCCCTTGTTGCTGCTGCCCTTGTTGCTGCTGCCCTTGCTGCTGCTGCCATTGCTGCCGCAGCACCTGATGCAACTGCTGCATCTGCTGCATCTGTTGCCCCTGCTGCCCCTGCTGCCCCTGCGCCTGCCCCTGTCCCTGCCCCTGCCCCAACAGTTGCTGCAGCAGCAACGCTGCTCCCCTCTGTTGAAGAGCCCTCGCTACACTCACTGCATCCGCAGAAGCACCTGCACCAGAAGCACCTGCGACTGAAGAAACAGCTGTACCTGCAGGAGCAGCAGCGGCTGCGGCAAACGAGGGAGAGGAGGTAGCAGTGGCGAGCAGAGAGGCAAGCAGTGCTGTGTTGATTTCCATCCCAGACTTGCCAGGAGAACCCTGCGGCAGATTCGGCACCTGGGGCACCTGAGGCGCCTGAAGCACTACCTGAGCCACCTGAGCAAACACCTGAGCTGCGTTGGCCTTAATTTGGGGCGGAATGGGAGCCTTGGAGCCATTGAAAACACCAGTTCCCACAGCAGTATTCGTGGTCGTGTCACCACTATTAGCAGCAAGAGTAGCAGGAGCAGCAGTGGCAGCAACAGCAACAGGAGAAGTAGCAGGAGCTGTAGCAGGAGCAGTACAGATCCCTGCAAACCCTCCAAATGGGAGCTTCACCTGTAACTGTGGCTGCTGTGGCTGCTGCTGCTGCTGCTGCTGTTGTGGCTGCAGCTGCTGCTGTTGCAGCTGTTGCGGCTGCCTCTGCTCCTGCTGCTGCTGTTGCTGCTGCTGTTGCTGCTGCTGTTGCTGCTGCTGTTGCTGCTGCTGTTGCGGCTGCTGCTGCTGCTGCAGTGTGGGTGCATGTGCAAGTCCCTGTGCCTGTGCCTGGGCGTGTACCTGTGCCTTGATTCGTGCTTGTGCCTGCATTTGTGCCTGCAGTTGCTGCAATAGGCCCAAAGAAACTGCCATCTGTTGCTGCTGACTTTCCTGTCCCTGCTGCAGTTGTCGCCCCCCTGTCACTCCCACACAAGAAGCTTCACCAGCAGCCAAACCTGCACCCGAACCTGCTTCCGAACCTGCTGACAAAGCTCCCGCCGAGGCAACTGCCGAGGCAGCCCCCGAGGCTGCTGCCGAGGCTGCAATGACCGAGACTAGAGCAGCTGGCGGAACGCCCGAGCCTGTGGTGGCAGCAGCGGTGAGAGCTCTGAGTAGCAGTTGCTGCTTGGGATTGTTTGCCGGGTTACTGAGCATCTGCCTCTGCTGCAGCAGCCGATTCAGCGCCACTACTGCTGCCATTTGCTGGTTCACACCTGCTGCGCCCCTCTTTCCCCCAACTAAACCTGCTGCTGGTGCTGCTGCTGGTGCTTCTGTTGCTGCTTCTCCTCTTTCCCCCTTCACCGCTCCTCCTTCCTTAACCGCCTCTCCTCTTCCACTCCCGGAAGGGGGAGCAGCGCGGAGCAGCGGCTGGGGGGGGCGGAAAGGGGGAAGCTTGAGGAGCGGACTGGGGGAGGTTGAGGGGGAGGAAGAGGGGATCACTGGGGGGTTTCCGGGCGTGGTGGGGGGAGGTGGTGAGGAAGCAGGGAAACTGACAGCAGAAGCTGGTTCAACGTTGCTCGCAGAACCATCTGCTGTAGCCTCACAGCGAGCATCAGAAGGATGGGCGTCGCTCAACCCCTCCCTAGCTGCACAATCTGACGAGTCTTCACACAGTGTGACTACATCGAAGGGTGCGTCTAACGGGAGATCCGCGAACATATCTTCTGGGAGATCTGGGAGAAAATCTGCGGACGAGATTCCCGAGATCTCGTCCAGATTAACCTCCGACATGACGATCGGCAGATCTAGACCCTCCATTTGCGTCAGATCAAACGTATCCAGCTCGTCCGGCTCTCCCGCATCGTCCATCCTTTCGATACAAGCCCCATCCGCAGCTCTCTCCTCCCCTTCTGTAACGGGACCGCAAAAATTCCCCGTTTTAGTCACACCTTCGCAGTGCTGAACATCCACCATTGATCCGTCCGTTACAAGCACACCTCTAGAATCTCCCTCGTCCAACCCATTCACCAAACTCGCTAAATCCGCATCCGCTTGTTCCAATAACGCGGGCATATTGTCCAATTCGCCCGCGCCATTCTCGCCACCGCGAAAGGTCAAAACTTTTCCGTTGTTGTGACCAGCCAACCCATCGTGATCCTGTTCTAACCGCATCCAATCACATTTCGCCTCATCTCCTCCGCCACCATTACCAGTGTAATAATTCTGCCCGTCGGGAGAGCAGCTCTGTACTTTTCTTCCTGCCCGTCCCTCCAATTCATTGCTTCCGCTCCAGTTCCCAATCTCAGCGACCGTGCTTGTATCGAGAGCTGCCACCGGCGCGGCTCCCGTTGCTGGAAGATTCCCGAGCCCTCGCGAAGGAGAAATAACCGTTGCCGTCAGATCTGACGGCCGCTTCAAACCCGCAAACCTGTTTCCGCGTTGTAGCAAGGGTGCGACAGGATCTGCGGGCGGCGCGAGCGGAGGCAGCGTGATATCACGAGCGTTAACGGCGGAGGTCTGAGCGCCATCGCGGCAGGACGCAGAGCGGCAGAATGACGAGGCGGCGCCGCCGCCGAAGCCGCCGGCGGAAGCGGAAACGGAACTCGGAGGAGACGCGGAGCCGCGCGAAGCGGAGGGGGCGGGCGCGGATGCGGCAGGAGCAGATGCGTTGCGCGGAAGTTGATTCGAAGCGGCACCGCGCGCTTGCACGAAGATCTCTGGCGGAGGGGGGTGTGGCGGTAGTAACAGCTCTGGCGGATAGTCTGCGGAAAATATGATGTTAGCGCGGATGCTATTTCTATCACCGGACCAATCACGAGCGAGCATCTGCGGCCTCTCCCTCTCCGCCCCGACGGTGGAGCATCGGCGGAGCGCGGACGCGGCGGAAATGGCAGAAGCGGAGGAATCCGTAGCGAAGGGGCTGTTGGAGGGCGATTCGAACCCGCTGAAGCTGCCAAACTTTCCGGCTGAAGTCCCGGAAAGCGCGAATGGGGCTCCGCTAACTACGGGAGACACGGACGGGCTGAAGCGGCTCGGCGTAATCCCGCCGCCGCCGCTGCGAGAGGCGCCTTCGCAAATCGACGAACCGGCCGTGTTAGCGCGCTGCAGGCGGCGCGACCGACCCGCGAGACCCCCCGCGCCGGCCGCAGGGGAGCGTCGGAGTGATGGGGGGAGCGGAGCGCAGAGGCCTTGCGCGAACTGTAAAGGGGCGTTTCCGTTTCCGGCGCCCATGGAAAAATCATTGGCGGTTGAGGGCGGCTGCGCGAGAGTGTGCGCGGGGCCCTGCGCGGGGGAATGAGCAGGGGATTGCGCTGCGGGAGGGAGAAGAGAGGGGCCGCGGAGCGCGCGGGACGCGGAGGGTAACCGCGGGGGCAGCGGGCATAGCAAGTGATTCTGCGACGTGGAGGAATGCGAAACGGCAGCAGTGACTGTTGGCCCATGATTGCGTGCTGCTGCGTGCTGCGCGGCGCGTGCTTCGGGCTTTTCATGGAGATTCGGCGGCGTCGGCGGAAGCGGCGGTGGCGATATCAGAGCGGCGCGAGGGTCGTGCAAGGGCGGCGGCGGCGGCGGAAGGAGGTCGGGGCGCAACCGCTTGTACGACATCATGTCGAGCATCTCCATTGCGATAGTATTACGGTCGTTACTCAGTATATCACCCCCAGGGGCACGGATGGCTTGTACTAAGCTGGTCTAAGAATTTCTCGAACAGCGGGTGCTCGAAGTCGTAACTGCCAAAGCTTCGTTCCGAAAAAACATTTCCACGATAACAGAGACTCTGGTTGACAACGCGCTGCGAAGTAAACTTTGACCGATGCAACGGTCTACTATACTTGTAGGCGGTTCCTGCGTGCTACTTCTGAAAAAACTCCCTCGTCCACCTATCGCTCGCCTCGCTCGCCTCGCCAAAGATGTCAGAATGGAAGATGGCGAAATGCAATGAAAACGCGAGCAACACGAGACGACGCGTGTCCTTGCATAGCGGTGACTTCTGGCCAATCTCATCTGCTTTTCCTGTGCTTCTTCGATGTACGATCGTGCTACGTGTAAGAAAAAAACATCACTCGCCCTCCCCATTTCCCGCTTATCCAGAGCAATAAGGTGCATCCCTTATGTCCCAGTTTCGTTGGAGATGCCATATCGTCATGTCATGCACCATGCCTATCTTGCTCTTTGATATTCTCAAGCTGGCCAACTCGTCGTGCAAGCTCATGCACTGTGCATCTAGCTCTGTGCAGACTGGCAATGATGCAGTCGTGGTACGAACGACGCAGGCACCGACAGGCGATCCCAGCAGCCAGCATGCGCCAGTCCGCCATAGGAGCTGTCTCGTCAACACAGAAAAGGTGGTGCTGAGCGGCGTTTAGCCAAATCCAGCATTTCGAACCAGATTCACACGGCGATTGCGGGACTGCCCGTGAAATAGAGAATCCAAAGCGGGATTCGTTCCCCTCGACTCACACGGTTTCACCCCGTCGGCTCCCTGTGGGATGCTGGGTGGCATTCTTTTCTCGATCCAATCTGGTTCACTCGTTCTTGAAGTCCCCTTTTTGCCAGCTTTCGAGCCAGAAATTGCAGTCTAGCATCGCAATTCGCCCAGCTCGCGATGAAATCCCCAGGCTGTCCAGAAGTGGGGAGGAGACGGGCAGTTGAAGGAGGACTGACCACGCACAGCTCGGAATGCAAAACAAAATATCTTCGAGCATTTACCCCGGAAACACAGTGTCGTCTGGACACACTCCGAACAGATTCTCGTCATTCACCACCAACATCCAGGATCGCTCGCAAGCTGGCGGATGTCCCCCCCGACCCCGAATTCTTCTGAAAAAGACGCATGTTGCTTGCGTGTGACTGTCTGCGAGAAGAGAGTAAGCGTGTGAACTGTTGTGGCTGGGTGGGTGACTGAACGTGTGGTCCCTCCTCTGTGGAGTCATGCAGGAGGGAACAGAAACAGAAGAGAAGGGAAAGGGGGGGGGGAAGAAGTGGGAAGAAAAGGTTCTACGTTGTCCAGTCCTGGGTCTCAGTGCTGTTCAAAGCTATTCCAAAGCAATCAGCTCTATCGTGAGTGCACATTTCTTAAAACGAGGGTCTATATTTGACAAGCGGGGGTTCAGAAGTTTTTGTTTTGAACCAGGCTTGCCAGCGCGAAAGTGTTGGCTAACGAAAACCTGGATTTCGTGCGGACACTTTTCCTCCGCAGTAGCAGTTCGCCAGGGTTTTGGGTTTTGGGTGGCAAATGTGCACCGACGCTTTAAAGCCAGGGTCTCACGTACTACAAGTGCTTTGCAATCGATGGTGAAAGTGTGGCTTTGATTGGTTGGCGAGGTGTAAGGTTCGAAGTGGGGTGAAGCGAGGGGTGCGAAGCGAACACAAATCGCTGGGGGTAACCGAACCATATAGGCTTGGAAACTTGGTTCGGAGCCAAACCTAAAATGCCCCCAACTCATCTAAAGTCTCAAGTACCCAAAAGTGTTGTGCAATTGCTTTTGGGGCAGTGACGCAAGCTGAGTTTCCAACCCAACCAGAGACAACTTCGCTAGCACTAACTTGGTTACCTAGCTTCAAGTGCTTTGCAGTCGATGGCTCCTTAGCTTACATGAGACCCTGGCTTTAAGCGAGAGTATTCACCACGTTAGTGAAACTTGGCTCGGTGCCGCGTTTACAGTTTTTGGATCCCACGGCGTGACAGAAGTGATGACGTGGAAGGCTTGAAGGACTTGCTTCAAAAGCCTGACATGACAATGGCGAGTAGCGTTCCTGAGCTTGGGGTGTGAATTTGGGGTGTTTGACGCTGAGGGTGAATTGATAATGATATTTAAAACACTAGAGTACACCTTTATTCTTGCTAGACTGACAACCGTAGTAAATAGAAAATCACTTTTTAGAACAGCGCACCCAATACACCCTACTTTCGATAATTTCACACCCCTTAAGCAAACACCCTAGGGGTACATACCCCGGGAACAAACGTTCTTGCAGGGTAGTTTATTGCAAATATTGAATAGCTGGGTAAGCCTTCCGTAACTCTGTCGCGAATAGACGTAATTCATAAACAACTTCAAGGGCACCCCCCCACCCCCATCCTCACTCGGAACACATAGTTCAATTTCAAGAGACTGCATCTTCGCTGTCGATTGATAGTTCCTGAATTTCAGGGTGTCCGTCGTATCGAGCCAGAATCGGTAAAGGGCATCTTCGAAACAGAGGGTAGGGGGTGTGCAATTATCGAGAATAGGGCATACAAAACCATTTTGTCGCCACAATAAGCACAGCCACCCTGTCGCACCTCGAACATTTTACAGCGGACACTTTCGCCCACTAGGTTTCCCAAGCTGTGTGTGCGATGGTGAGAAGATCGAGAAAGAGGGTGTAGCGAACTTCACGAGGCAATTCCTGAGTGGAGAACGTAGGCAACCTTGACTTTGGTCCAACTGCCCTCACAGTGACTCACCGCCCGTCTCCAACCGTTTGACTGTTCTCGTGGTGGTGGTGAATCGCATCGCAATCTGGGTTCTGCACTCCACAATTTTAATATCAGGTGTTTTCTGGGCAGCTATACAATAATTAGATGCATGTGGTTCTCAGACAATTTGCACAGTTGAGCTATTTGGTGATTCGTCGTCTGAATGTCATAGCCATTTCAGCCTCTCGCTACGCTCCCACTCGCGGCTAAAAAACCTTACTTAAGCAACTGGACGTATTGATACGGTGAGTCTTGTTGTCTGGTTAGCGGAAAGGAGGCTCGTGTCAAAAGTACAGTATAGGGGTGGGGTGGTCGAACACAACAATCCGAGGAAGCCACCCGGGCTGGGATGGGCAGGTGTGAGGAATTTTCTCTACATTCCTTAGGACGTGGTGCAGATCGGGGCGATCTGAGGCTGATTGCCTCGATCTACGCAATCCCTAATTTCCGTGAAGGTCCAGGGGGTACCTTAGGCAATCGGGGGCAATCTGTCGATCGCAATCGAGATCGCGATCGATTGCCTCAATTTGATGCAATCGATAGCGACCGATTGCAATCGATAGATTGGATAAATTGGCGACTGTGCGCGATCAGTAACCACCAAAACTTATTT